TGTATGCCTAGTAAGTTTTGATGGGTGCCAGAAATGGAGAATTGTACAGTGTTGGCTATGGGGGTTTGTTGTATTCTTCTAGAGAGTGCTAGATTCCTTTTCCTTGTCTGGCGTGTCTGTTTCTGGTACTCTGTGGCCACCTCACACTGCACCAATATCTCCAAACCACTCCCCTCCTGCACTGCAGCAGCACCCTGCAGGGCTGCCAGCTGGTGGCCACAGGGCCTGGGCTCGTTGTCCTTTCTCCCGGATCACAGAGATGTACAAGCTACTCCCAAATGTCTTAAAGCCCTGTTTCTTCTCTTCCTTCCTAACATGCTTTCAGCAGGAGAGCCACACCCAGAGCCACTCTCAGTCCAAATAGGAGACTGAGGCACCGGACACAGAGAGAGAGGGAGAGGGAGAACAGGACCTGGCCAGGAGCCCATGCTGCCTTGCACCCCAGGTTTGACCACATCCCAGTCACTTGGCAGCAGAGCACCATGTCTCACCACGGAGCGTGCCAGGGAGCAAGGGGCAGGCCTCACCCACAGGGTCTCTCAAGCACAGCCACCGTCTTTACTTCCTCTAAGCCTCTGTCCCACTAGCACCTCTGTGGGGCAGGCAGCTGGCCAGCTCAGCCAGCTCCGTGCCCTGAAGCACCACATGGTCCCAGACACCCAGGCAGCTGCCCGGCAAGGCCACAGCATGGCCAGATGGTGCTGCCCACAGCACCACAAGGCCACTCTGTGCCAGATTCCAACTGAAGTCACTTCTCCTGCATCTCTGCAGTAGGTGGGAACTGAGCCTGCCGATCATCCAGATAAAGCCTCCCATGTTTTTCTACAGAATCCATGAAAATCATTTTTGTTTTACTMAACCCCAGGAAGATGGCTTTTCCTGTGAGTTTCTTTTAGAGGACTTCAGTTCAGAACACAATTTGCTCGATTTTCCTTGRGCAATTCACTGAAGACTCTCTCAGCTGAGCAAGCCATTTCTTAATTCTACCTGGGCCACAGGAGTCACATTCTGAGCAAATAATGTGTTAGTGTTGTTGGGTGGAAACCTCAGCAGGGCAGTGTCCTCCACACACAGAGGCTGTGGTCTCTCGAGAGTGGACCTTGAGCACGCTCATGCTTTCTCTCTCTCTCTCTCTCTCTCTCTCTCTCTCTCTCTCTCTCTCTCTCTCTCTCT